GTTGAGATCTGGTGACTGTGGGGGCCATTTTAGTACAGTGAACTCATGGTCATATTCAAGAAAGCAATTTAAAGTGATTCGAGCTTTGTGACATGGTGCATTATCCTGCTGAAAGTAGCCATCAGAGGATGGGTACATGGTGGCCATAAAGGGATGGACATGGTCAGAAACAGGTAGCCCGTGCCATTTAAACAATGCCCAATTGGCACTAAGGGGCCTAAAGTGTGTAGGGAAAACATCCCCATACCATTATACCACCACCACCAGTCTGCACAGTGGTAACAAGGCTTGATGGATCCATGTTTTCATTCTGTTTACGCCAAATTCTGACTCTACCATCTGAATGTCTCAACAGAAATAGAGACTCATCAGACGAGGCAACATTTTTCCAGTTTTGGTGAACTCTAGCAAATTCTAGCCTCTTTTTCTTATTTGTAGTAGAGCTGAGTGGTACCCGGTGGTGTCTTCTGCTGTTGTAGCCCCTTCCGCCTCAAGGTTGTGCGTGTTGTGGGTTCACAAATGCTTTGCTGAATACCTCGGTTGTAACGAGTGGTTATTTCAGTCAAACTTGCTCTTCTATCAGCTTGAATCAGTCGGCCCATTCTCCTCCGACCTCGAGCATCAACAAGGCATTTTTGCCCAGGTCTGCCGCATACTGGATGTTTTTCCCTTTTCACATCATTCTTTGTAAACCCTAGAAATGGTTGCGTGTTAAAATCCCAGTAACTGAGCAGATTGTGAAATAATCAGACCAACAACCATGCCACGCTCAAAATTGCTTAAATCACCTTTCTTTCTCATTTTGACATTCAGTTTGGAGTTCAGGGGATTATCTTGACCAGGACCACACCCCTAAATGCATTGAAGCAACTGCCATGTGATTGGTTGATTAGATAATTGCATTAATGAGAAATTGAACAGGTGTTCCTAATAATCCTTTAGGTGAGTGTATATATTAGTCACTGTGTATTGCTCAAGCAACTGGTAATTCTTTTGTTGAATCAAGAGATTCTTTATGTGCAGCCCAGGGGATTAAACATTTTACATTTTAAAAAGCTTCAAATTGAATTTGTGAACAGGAATGAATGTCTGTGCGGTCTCATGTGAAAGGATTTTTCAAATTCACCCGTTGCATTGTCTGTAGAACTTTTCAGACTACTTTATAGATGGCCATGAGAAGTTGAAATCAAGCCTTTTTGTATCTAATTCGACCCAAGCAAATACCAGGAAATGGGAGTAAATTAATTCTGTCAAAAGGACAGATCTCCATACAGAAGTGCAAAAATCTGCTGGAAAATTACACACGGATGAGTATTACTTCATCTCATGATGGAATATAATTGACAATATGAGCAGGTACACAGAGAACAGCAAACAAAAGTAAATAATTGAGCACGCCTGAACCCGTGAACGCAGGAAATGAGAAAATGGGAGAAAAATATTCTGCCTAAATGGATTTGCATTTTCAGCTCAGCGCTCTTGTTCCCTAAATGCAGTATTTTATAGAGTCTGCAGAAGCTTTAATGAAGTCATTTAGGATGTGATTTGACAGGAATTGACATGGAAATAGTATTTAACATGTTTAGTATCCTTCTTAAGATATATTAACCATATTTATCAATACAATTAAAAATCTGTTAAGTTCTTTTCACATAACTCGCATCAGTGCGAGCTGGCTCAACATAAGAGCATGTGCTGCTTTCACCTCCAAGGGAAAATTATGTGAATAGTCATGGAGGGGTTTAAGAGGTTGCAAGAAAAAAAAAATTATATGATTTATTATATACGGTTTATTATAAATAATTTTTTTTATTATTAATAAAACATATATAGTATTGATTGGAAATTGAACAAGTTAACATGAATTTGATCTTAGCAATAAAAAAAGGCATATCATATACATTTTATATATTTTAAATAAATACATTATGTTATAAAATATATTTTAAATAATGTTACAAAATCTAAAATATAGCTTTTGAGGTTACTGTATAACAAATTCCTATGACAATACTCTCTATGTAATGATACCTCATGCAAATTGTCTTCAACTGTAATCATTGGCTGTGCTTTAAAAGGTCAGTGGCGAACACGTTTGAGCATTGCATTGGAAGACAGTGCTGCATTAAAGTCTGCATTAGATAAGGTTGATGCAAATCATGTGAAAAGACCTTTAGAATTCACAGGAGTCAACACATTTTTCAGAATATCACATTTAAAAACATCATGCATAATTCGATGCATCATGCATTCAAAGCCAAAAAAAGCAGGTTTTTGATTAGAGAGCGGCGACTCTTAAGCAATCGGAAAACGCACTTTCAAACGCAGATGATGTTAGATTCATGCAACGGTTTCAAACATACTTGTTGACACACTACACAAGCAGATAGGGAAATAAATATGAAAACTCAAGGAAGCCAGTGGCTGGTCCAGCTCAAGATCTTGCAACCTTAGAGAAGCAAACAACAAGCATGCGGGAAGCAACCGAACTTGAAACAGTCTCACTCTGAAGCCTGAGTTGCATGTCTAGTCCAAGCATCTCTAATCCTTAGAAGAAAATTATGAACTATTTGAGACAAAAAGGGCGACAGATTTCTAGAAGAACTAAAATAGCTGAAGGGAATAATCTTAAAGTCAGAGCTCAGGCTTTACGAGACTCTAAACTAAACCCAGAGGGGGGAATAAGGGAAGCTTTAGAACATAAGGTGAAGCATTAGTTTGAAAAAAACAAAACCAGGCAGGTTAACAGAACACTACATCTCTCCAGTCAGAAGGGCCAGAGGATGAGAGGAAGGTGGCAAGGAGAAGGAGAGGGGGGAAGAGGGATTTAGGAAGCGCATTATATGGATCCGAACACCGTATGAGCCCACAGTTCTTTAGAAAATAACTAGCGTGTGTGCACTACTTAATAGCCTGTGTGTCGAGTCTGCATGTGTGAGGGGCATGTGCTTGGTTGATATAAAGAGAATTTTCGGGGAAAACTGGATTTATTTTTGTGACCTTTGGTGATGGACATTATTACCTGGCACGGGCTACATGGGCGGCAGGCTGACTGTGACATTTACAAGTGAAACGCTTTAATGAGAAGGACGTCACTTTGCTCTTTTCGGGAGCAGAGCTCATATAAAGTCGATTAAAGCCGTTACCACACCTGCCTTTACTGAGAGGATTTTTATATTTATTTTTATTGGACTCTTGTTTGGGTGGGTGATTGGATTGAAAAAACAGCAGATTTTGCACTACGTCTTTTTCCATTATCTTTCCACTTCCTCAATGTGAACGCCTAAACGTCTTCCACCCAATTTCAACATGTTTCCATCCCTCGCTGACTCCCTAAATCTCGGTTTCTCTCTCTCTGTCTCTCTTCCTGCTGGGTATTAATAGCCCCTCTGCAGGACCGAATGCGTCTGAAGCCAGGAGTTCAGCAGGAGTTCATTGTCAGTTCATCTTCGACTGTGTTTTAATGAGTTTCAGAATCCGCCCACCCCCTCATGGCAGTCCGTCCTCCAACACTCACGCAAATTATCCAGGGGCCAGAGTTCCTGCCATGATAGCACTTATTCGAGTGTGTGAATGACCTGTGAGAAGGTGTGTTTAAAATAACATTAACGAGCGGCGTGGACTCGGCAGCAGCCACCTCAGAACAAATAGAGATTCCGCAGACATCATTATCGCTTTACTTATATATATATATATATAAACCACGCATGCTTAAGTCAACACTACCTAAGTCTATAGGAATGAAATGGATAGCTTGACTCTGACCCTGCTTGCTAAAATAAACTGCAACGATGCCAACTGAATAAAGGTGAAAATCGAATCATTAGCAAATGACATTTTAACTAAGAGCTTGAATTCATTCCCTTCAATAATGCCAGGGAAGGAACCGCTTGAGCCAAATTTGCACAGTGAATGAACACTGGTAAACTGAAACACTTTTCTAGCGGAATTAATTAAGTCACCCAAATACATCCTATAAATGAGATTAATCTGTACATGGCATAAATGCAAAAACGTTTTAATTAATATACAGAATGTTTTAATAAAAATGTTTTTCACCATTACTAATATGTTTGCAGATTAAAATGAGATGCCATTGAATATGAAATGACTAAATTTAAAGGATAATTTACCACTCTGCACCTCTCCCATACCCTCTCAAAACTGACAAGAAACTCTTGTTTAGACTGGAATTAACGGTCATATAATTTTTAATTAATCAGCATGACTAAATGCCACACTGAGGCAGGGTGTGAAAAACCATCAGCACTCTGAGGTTCTGTGTGTATTCTATGTGTAACAAATGACCTCTTATCAACAGGTAATATAGAAGAAGAGGGTTGGGTTGGGAGGTGAAGAGAGGGAGATATAAGGTGAGTTGTGACTAAAGCACCGCACTACTCCTGTCTGCGGGTTGTTTGATTGCACAAGTGTGCGACTGCTCTTGACCGAACGGCTGAATAGATTGCACGCTGAAAATTTCTATCAGGCGGAGTCTGCCCGCGGGTCTGTAGTAGCAGTTTATTTATCGACTGCTGGTGCTTCTCATTACAGGCTGAGTGGATGATCATAACGGCAGGAGCAGGATTTACGATCATTTTGCTGCATTCTCGCAAACTTCGGCCAGGGACACATGAGTGGAATCCAGGCAAAGTATCTTTGGAGAAGTAGGGGAGACTTAAATGTATTAAAACAACAAAGACGACTGCAGACAATTCGTTCCTTTTGTTTGTCTGGAAGTAACAACAGGGAAGGTCGAATGCGATGAGCACGGACTAGCAGATTGCTTGACTCAAAGGGTTTTTGTAGGACAGAGAATTTGTTTGTATCTCCAAGTCAGTGTGATTCTTTGTAATCTTTTTACTTTTGTTTCTTTGTGAGTATACGCTGTGCGCAGCTGTGGGGTCATGCAGTGGAATCCAATACAGCGCTAGAAAAGTTGAAACTTGGGATAAAGGGAAGCTAGAAAACAGACAATGGGCCTTTCCCCACCCCCTTACCCTCCATCTCCACACTGCCTGGCTCCAAGTCAGGAGAACCCTGCCCTCCCTGCCTCCCCTCCTCGGGGTGGGTACCTGTCTCAGAGACACCATTGACTTTAGGCAGAGCTGGCCCCTGATTGGTTGTGCTGGCGCTTGTGGGTGAGGTCTTCCCTGTGGTTGTATTGGAAGGGGGTAACAAAGTTACTAATCAGAAGTATCCATAATATGCATTTTAAATCAGGAAAAAATCCATTTAAATATATTAGTTCAGCATATCAGCATATTTCCATTTTGTATAATATCAATTATTAGGGATTATATCAATAATATCAGGGATTTCTTACCCAAAAATCAGTCATCAGTTACTCACTCTGTCATTATTCACAACCTGTACAATTTTGTTCATAAAAATATTCTGAAAAATGTCGTAGTGCTTTTTTATTTGGTCCATGCAATGAAAGTCTTTCATTGTTATCGACAACAACAGCTGAAACATTCTTCAAAATATGTTTTCATGTTCTGCAGAAGAATTAACATTGTACAGGATTGGAACAACACGAGAGCAATGACAGAATTAAGACACAATTTTCATTTTAGGGTTTAGTTTAAAGAAATATCTGAACTGGTTTTGTCCATAATGAAACTAAAACTATTAAGTAAAGTTTACGTTAATTGAAAAGGCCAAAATAATATAAAATAAATATATAAAATTAGAAATGCTGCCTTGACAACTATCTAAAAATGAAATAAAAAATAAAGTTAAAAGATAAAAAGAAATATTAAAAACAAACTAATAAAAATCATAAAAGCATAATAACAACATTACTAAAAAAAGCCAATTCAAAAATTTACTAAAAACTATAATTGTGGAAACATAGAACTACATTAACACTGAAAACAACATTTAACATTGAAAAAAAAGTTAAAATAATACATTTTTGCCTTCCATTGAAAAAAGAACACTATACAGATTTGTAACGACGTGAGGGTGAATAAATCATGAACCAATTTTCATTTTTTGTGTGAACCATCCCTTTAAATAGCTTAGTAAAGATTTCAGAAGTTATAAAGTTTATGAAGGGTGCTACAGAAATCAAAGTACAAATCACGTAAAACATGAAAAAAACAAAACACCTCTTCTTGCAGCAAAATCAATATTACATTTTCTTTACTTTGTTGTGATACCACATGAATTTCAAACCCCAGAGCTGGCAGATTCGAAACTTGGAGGCATTTGATCCAAACCGAGCTAATCTCACAGAAGCCTCTTTTTGAACAGTTTCCCCTCCCTTTCCTCTTCTCCATCCATCCCCCACAAAGCGCTGATCCTAAACACACTTGCGGGCCACATACTTTGTGGATATCCTCTAAAGTCTGATTCGGAGATTTAGCTCTCCTCATTCCCTGGCGATTTTAAGTGCCGGCGACCTTGCGGAGTTCTCTTTCTGAAAGACTCACTGTCATTGGGCTCAGGCTGCTGTGAGGAGCTCCATCACCAGACTAATGCTTAATGTTGCGGCACACAATACCCATCAGCAGCAGCCGGTTGACCGGGACCAAATGCGGAGCCCATCCTCCGTCTGCCCACCTCTAAATAAAGCCTGTCATCTTGCCATCTGTGCCACACAGTGGCCGCTCATCAGGGGAGCTCAGGGCTGGCACACGGGATGCTTTTATTATAATTCCGTTTCCATTCTATTTAAAGGGTGCCGGGAGAAAAGAGCTGTCGGAAAACAGCGGTGCTTTGTTGGAATTTTCGTCCACCTTTCACAATGGGATGGCTTTATCACACAGTGGGAAGACGCCGAGAGTTCTGAGGATGTAATAACTCCTCTTGAATGCAGGTAGAGCTCTAATTACCATGCCAAGGTGCCATTTGAGGCTTTGTCTCAGCATGAGGGGAGAAGGAAGCTGGAAGAGGAGCTCTGGTGGCTGAATGAAGCAGTGGGGACGCTCATTGAATGTTTGCACCCACTGTGTGCTCTTTCACACCACAGACAGAAAGGAGCACAGGGACAAGCAATCTAGCATCCAATGCCATGATACCAACCGCCCAATCTCTCTTTCTTTTTCCATGATCTTTCTACCTTTATCTTAGGCCCCGTCCACACTACTGCGTTTTCGTTTCAAAACGGAGACATTTTGCTACGTTTGCACCTCCCGTCCACACTAAAACGGGAAAAACGAAGACCTAAAACGGAAAAGTTTAGAAACGCTGCAGCTGCGTTTTGCGTTTTGAATCTCCGGAGGGCGTTTTAGTGTGGACGAGACAAAACGGAGAACTTCAGAAATGCTGACGCAGAGGCTGACGCTTGGCTCTATAATTGGGTGTTATCAGTCATGACGTTTCCTTCCCTGATTTGTCATTCACTGTTTACACTGGCACGCGCATGCCCAGTGTTGGTGAATGGTCACGTGAACCGCGTTTTCAGTCGTTTTAATGTGGATGGAGATCGTTTCTAATACGCAGATAAAACGCTGGTGTGGACGGAGATCGTATTCGTTTTAATTCTCCGTTTTTAAACGAAAACGCAGTAGTGTGGACGGGGCCTTACATCCTTCATTTATCCCTTCTGTAAATTTTCTGTCCTTTTTTCCTTGTCTTAAAGTCTCCATTCCTTTAAAATGTCTTTCCATTCTTTTTCTTAATCTTTCATACTTCCATTCTTGCACTTCCTTTCTTCCTTCTCATCTTATTCCTAATCTCCTTCCTTTCCCATTTCCCTTTAATTTCTTCTCTTAATCGCCCATTCCTTCATTACTTTATCCTTCCTTAATCGATTTGGTTTCTTTCTTTTGATGGTCCCTTTAACACATTCAGTTAACTATAATTGATGTTGCACTTACTAACTCTCATTAGAGTGTTAGTCGAGTATTAGTAGACTAGTAGGATTAGAATACGTTGGTGTCTAGTTGCAAAGTTACTTATAGTCAGTAGAATGTTTGTTGGGGGGGCAAACAATTCATTTATAAAAATTAAGTTGACTTATAGTCAAAAGAATGTTCAAAAGAGACCATCAAAATTAAGTCCTTCCTTTCTTCCTTCTTTAATATTCGACTAATATCGAATCAAGGTCCCTAGGTAACCCTAGGATCTCATCTATGCCTCTCTTCTATGGCAGGTAGATTATTTAGTGCTGTCAAACCCAAACTGGAATTCTCCCCCGCTCACTATGTTGCATTAATTATATTTCTGAATTGAAATTGAAACTCAAAACCCATTAGTTTTCTGGATGTTATCATTCTAAAGTTGTGTTCTAGACTCTATGTTGCTATGTGCTACTTTGTCAATGTATTCCCCCTTTTACTGTCTTTGTATTATCCTTGCACTAATCTACTGTTTTGTAATATTCTCCACCTCTGCTTGTAGTTTTGTCTGTTATTATTGTCTTCCCTATTGTTGATAACCTTTTCTGATTGTATCTACAATGTAAAGCATCCTTGAGCTATGGAGGGTGCTATATAATAAAACTTTATTATTATTATTGACAAACAGAAACAACATTTAAATACTGTAGGCACCAGGGAGTTATTCACCTCTCTCAACTGGACTACTTGCACTGAGCTTCGTGACACACGTCTGTTTTGAAATAGTACAACAAATTTATTTCCGGTAATATATATTTTCGATGTGCTGTAGTCACCTAGTTGACTAAACGCCACTTAAAAAGATTGTTCACAAGAATATTTTAAAATCTGGACATTTTTCATAGATGGGAGAAATTTTCCAAACTCAAAGGAACATCAAATTTAAATCCAACCCAAGGTATAACATTTCAGCAGGTTCAAGAGAATTCATGTTAGCGATGAGAACATGATTCATTGTTTGAATCAATCTAGCGCCATGGGTTCTCATGTTTAGAACGCTGTTACCGGAAACTCCTGGGTTGTAATTTCAAGTAGAATGTGAAAGTAGTTGTGCAAGTAGTCCATTGGCTGATGGATAGACTGTAGGCCATCTTAGAATATATATTACTACTATAATCAGCTCTTCTTCAAAATCTGGAGATTAGAACAGAACAAATCAGGTGACTTGGAAATGTTATTTACTGAAACTCGTGTGTGCTAATAACCTCATGTGACTAATCCAAATGGTAATACAGGGACTTTGAGAAATATACTGGATATTTCTCAATGATCCACAGAGGATGGGAAGCTGATGTGTGTGTGTGTGTGTGTGTGAGAGGCACAGAGCGTATTGTATTTGGTACAATAGCTGAATGCTCTGACCCGGATCACACGGCATCCTCTGGCACGCTTTAGAAGCAAAATCAGACAACACCACCCAGGGATGTTAACACACTTTCACACACACACACACACACACACACACAGGCCAGCTGTCAGCTAGTATTAGCTCATGACTGGCTGAAATATAATACTGCACATTTCTACACATGATGCATGCATGCACACACTTTCCCTCTCTCCTTTTAAAGCACACATTTCTCTTTCTCTCTCTCGCTCTCAAATCTTTCATACACATACTGTCTATCAGAGCATACACACGCTCTGTTCCTCTCTCTCTCACACACACACACACACACACACACACATCCCGTCCGTCACACATCCACTGAGAAAATTAATTTGTCAGATTGTGATTTTCAGTGGTTCATCCAAAGCTCTTGCTCAGAGCTCTGTGATATGGCCCACAGCACTGCAGGACATTTCTGTCTGCCGTCCAGATCTGCAGCCTCACTGCGGGTCATTTGTCTAACGGACTCTATTGATCTGCGAAACTAACGCCTCTCTGGGAGCTGTTGTAAGAGCTACTCAGAGGTCAGAACGGGACAGATTGAAGATTTATGCGTGTGTGCGTGAAAGGCAAACTGTCGGATAAAAGACATGATGTAATATTCACACCAAGACACCAGTGACACAATGTAGAAAAAATAATAGCAATCTGTGAGCCTATTGTTGAATGCAAGGCCCAGCTATACTGAGTATAATGGCTAGCCATAAAAAATTCTGATTTAAAATGGTCAATGGATATGAACATGACTGTGAATATGGCTGGTCAAAATCATTTACTAAAGCAATTTGAATGTCTGAATTGAGATGGAGTTCAGGCACTGACCGTACGCAGAGTCCACCGCAGGGTTCTGCTTGCGAGTTGTGGCCAAGACATCTACAGAAAGGATAAAAGAAGAACAAGATTGGCCCACACTCAGCCTAATGAATTATAATAATTGGCAGAAGAATTGTTTTTTTTGTTTCTATTTATAAATAAAAGTATTTATTGCACAATGTTATCTTATAGTACCATATTGCATCCATCTCCATTTTGATGCATAAATACAATAAGCCATTTAATGCCAGACACTATACTCTTACTACAGCTAAGGTTTATGTAATTACAGCACAAGACTGTATGTTTTTTGTAATCACAGCACAAGTTACACGATACATAAATCTATTACATTTCATCCCCAAGTTCTCATTATTGTAATGCGAAAATAACAACAACCCTGTTTGTAGATAATTATATAATATTATATTATTCAAATTTTTGGTTTTTAAAAATTTTATTTTTATTTTTTGATGAATAGTTTTAGAAAAACATTTATGAAAAAATATTTGAAATATAAACATTTTGTAACATATTATTTGTAACATTTTATATTAATTAAAATCAAGTAAATTATATTTCAGCATTTAAATAATATATCATTTTTGAGAATGGGGAAAGGTGCTTTGTAGTCATAAAAATAATTGTAAATAATTTAAAAAAATTTTTTAAATCTTGCACAGTTCAAAGAGGTTGCAAGATGTGACTTATAGTGTCTTTCCTTTTTTAAATATGAAACATAACCTAGACATGTTCTTGATATATTCCATAAGATTCTCTCTCTAAGTTCTGTGAGTAGTCAGAACAATAGTGGAGTTGCAGCAGGAATGTGTAGGGATGTAATAATAGTGTGAATGAGTTATGATCTCGGGGAACAAGTCAACTCGGACTGTCTGAAACTCACCATGACAGCTGTCTGGGTACTGAGGATATCCACTCTCCACATACTGTTCAAATCCAGACCTGTGACAGAGCGGAGAGAGAAGAAGAGTGAGAAAGAGGACAAGAGAGTGACAATCATTCTTTTGTGAGCCTCTCCCTGAATGATCCTTCTAATTAGTTGTGCTGTCAGCAGTCTGTTGTTGCCTCTCCGAGCAACTGTAAAGGGAAATAACACGTTACAATATGATTGAGGATCGAGTGTCTGCCACGTACACTTCCTCTATTGCATGACTGACAGCCATGTTTTCAGAAGACAAGAAACAAATGCAAATGTATTAGTAAGTAGTTTGTAAACAAGAATTCTAAAATTAAGCGCCAAATGAGAATACATTTTATAGGACCAGCAACATATTACTCCGTTGAAATCGCACTGTATGTCTGAAAGTTGCAGATAAAGTGACATGCACAATCAAAAAGTTTTATCATAAGTTTTGACCCAAACAGAACCCCATTTATATGATTTATATTAATTATTTCTGACATTAAGGCATACAAATAAAATTACAGAGGGACATCATCATAATATTACCATGTTTTTGTGACGGACGTAATTTTAATGAGAAACGGAGACACTCATCTTCAACATGATGCTGCAAAAATAACAATGAAGTAAAGTTTTCCACAAATTATCTAAGTAATAATAGTTAATAATCCCATTGTTTGTAACGGCAAAATATATTTTCATAAAAAAAGGGTTCAATGCTGGTAATATTTTATAACATTTTCACACGCCCCAATGTTATAAACAAATGCTGAATGTATTTACTGTGTTTAATGTGTTTATATTTACAACAAGCTAGAGGAAGTTTTATTTACTCAAGCACACAAGTGCCAAACGTGCTTTCAGCTTGGACTATTTTATATGTACTGTAAGAACTTTTGTGTGAAAGAAATGAGTTTTGGGTAAAACAACATATTAAGTCAAATTTGAATAGAAAATGTTTACAGAGAGGGACGTTGCTGACTCATACAGCCTAACAGCGTAACCAGGGTGACACGTCGCCCTGAGGGACTGGAATGTTCCACTGCTCCTGGCATCACAGAGCCGAGTGTGTCATTGCCGAGGCGAGCACCTGAGTGACATCTCACACACAGACTCATAAAATGTTCTGGCGCTTTTTGCTTCCTCTCAGTGTTACCATGGAGATGTGATCAGATCGGCGGGGCCGTGGTCTAATGAAGTATGCTATTCTGTATCCAAAGGTCCAAAATCAAGATGCTCAAACATCACTTGTTTTCAAGAGCACTTTTGCTTGTGCCATTTCAGAGCAAGAATGTGCATATTATTCTAATGCACTGAACTAATTATTAGTGCATAATTATAATCAATAATTTCAGGGCAAAGATGGCTTGATTTTAATTTAAATTAGATTTACTACATGTTCCTGAAAAGTGCTATTTGCTGGTGCTATTGTGAAAACAAGACAGGCCCAATGGAGTATGGAGGTCTGCAGAAAAATCTTATTTTTACTTTAGTACTGAAAAATGATTAAATAAGTTCAAATTATTAAATCTTTAAATTGCATTTGACCACTGAATTGAATCATCATATTTTGGGGTCATTGTGATCAAAATGTTTAACACACAGCTCATGCAAATAACTTGTCTCACTTGATTTTGAGTATATTTGATCTATCTGAGTGGAATCTACCTTTTTTTTTATTGAATATATATCAAATAACAAGCACGTATAAAGCACAGAACACATAAAACTCTGACATGTTATATCAAGTATATATAAAGCTTCACATATATAAAGAAAAAATAATAATAATAACAATAAATAAATAAAATAAAATAAAAGATAAAATAAAAATCTTATGCATCAGTGGTATTGAAAATATCATCATAATATTTCAAGAATCTGTCACTTTTCTTTTTTTTAATCAATCTTAGAGACTTCAGAAATGTATCAATTTCGATTAAGAAATGTGGAAAGGTAGGCTGCGATTTAGAGAATTTTTGCTTGTGAATAAAATTTTTCCCAAACAAAATAAAAAAATTAACAATTTAACTAATTCAAGTACTAGCTTTATCTTCTTTATAGTAACAAATTTTATCCTTTAATTGAAAGGATTTGGAAGAATCAAATGAGTGGAATCTACTTAACCTTGGAGCACAGGGTACAATGATGTGTTTAAAGGGGTGGTATAATGCCCCCTTTGTTTTTACAAGATGTAAAATAAGTCTCTGATGTCCCCCAGAGTGTGTATGTTTAGCTCAAAATACCCCACAGATAAGTGTTTATAACATGTTAAAATTGTCCCATTTTGAGGGTGAGCAAAAACATGCCGTTTTGTGTGTGTCCCTTTAAATAAAAATGAGCTGCTGCTCCCGGCACAGAGGGTGGAGCTTTAAGATCTTGTGGGTTAGCAACCTGCAGACACACACTGAAATGTCAGAAACTGTTCTTCCTTTTATGTTCAAACAGAATTTGGACAATGATGGAGAGAATCAAGAAGTGACAACATGTAGAATGCAACAGGACGACTCTGAGGGTTTTTCAGGACGACCAAAAAGCTGCGCTTGAAAAGGACGAAGGAGAAAAAAAAATGTTTCGGGGGCAACGTGCAATAAACCAATCAAAGTCTCATCTCCCATTCCCTTTAAAAGGCAGTTGTCACTATTTACATGGTGGAATTTGCAAGCGGAAAGACTAAATGCTTCTCCAGAGAGGAAACGGATCTGCTCGGGTGCAAGCAGACCATCTACGGAATAAGCCGGGCACCATAGCTTTACGCACACAATCATTTTACATTGTAATATTTAATATTTGTGGTAGTTTGTGTACAGCTGCACGTCCCTGTGTGTAACAAGCAGAGTGTATGCATGCACCCAGCTATATTACTAATGCACCCTTTAAATAACAAAAAACAATTAAAAATAAAATAAATAGTGCTTCACTGACTTCAAACCAGGTTTTTGATGGTCAATGGCACCTTCTATTTCAGTTGCCTCAAAATAACAATGCATTGAAAATGGGCATTGATAAGGTTTTCTATGAAATTATGTAATTCAATCATAACAGAGGCCTTAAAGGAGCCGTCCCTTAATAAAAACATATAATTTCAGGCAGAGGGTTAAGTTGTTGGAAATAATATTTTTTCTGCATATATATTTGCTTTTTTTTGTGCAATTTTTTTTTTCTTAACATTATAAGTGAACCCCAAAGAAAATAAAAAAGCAATGTCACGACCCCTTAAAAACGCTTCGGAGAAAAAACACACTAGCATTCAAACAACTTATCATCTAATGCTGGCACCCCATTTCAGACCCTGCCGTTCTCCTGCCTTGCCCTGCCCTGCATATTCAATCTATCTGTGAATCAGCCCTCTCTACCTGACATGATTTAAAGTCCTTATTTCCATTAACCTGAGAGGGGAGAGAGTGACAGAACGAGAGGGAAGGAAAGGGAGCGGGGATGACTTCATCTCATATTGAAGGATAAATGGAAGGACAAGAAAAAAAAATCTCCTGCATAAAGTGGTAAATTGGGATCTTGCAGGTGCATAATATCTGAACATCAATATGCCTCAGAGATGCATGCTTTTCATTATACCTGAATTGGCCAACACACTTGCACACACACAGATACATTAGCACAAACACGCTCTCTCATCATATGGAGATTAAATTGCCCCTGGGGAAGAGAGAATAGGGAAAAGGAGAACACAAAAAGAAAATATCCCACAAGATAATAAAGTCATATTTTTCTTCATATTCTTCTACCCGCAGTACACCCCCCCAAAAAAACAAGCCGCAGAGCTATTTAAGAAAACGAGAAAGCCAAAGTATTACCATCGTACATCTATTGCCCTCTTTTCTTACATTTCATCCTCTCAGTCTAGCAGAATTTCATCAGATTACATTGATTAGCATTTAAATGCATAGTTCGCTCTGGAGCTACATTTTCTCTTGTCTTATTTCTTGTTCTACTTCACTCAAGTCTCACATTGCTGGACTTTCTAAGCCCATTGGAAAGGGACCATGTGACTAACATGACTAGTTTATTTTAATGAGATGTGTGCACACGAACTCCTGAAAATGACTACAGCCAAACAGTTTGGACCTGTTGATTTCAGCCATTTATTGCACTTTCATGTGCAATAATTCTGATAGTCAAAAGTGCAGAATCTATGGACTTTATGGTAATAGTGGCAATCAGTATAGGTCAAGTTAAATAACATGATGAAATCAGAAAAAAAAAAATGAAGCTAACTACAAAGCAATTATTTGGGATGTGAAAACAAGACTCCTTGTGCTCAGAGCCGATCCTCCATATATGCACACTACGCAAGCTATGTAGGGCCCCGCAAATTACTCATGGCCCCGCCTCACCCTTGTGTCAAAGCACATCAATCAAAGTTAACAACATCGATGAGATAATTAAGAGGAACTATCCTTCTGGTCACAAAAAGGGAGACTGAGAGAAAAACAACATGTGAGTGAATTGGGGGAACAGCGATCAGTTAGACTTGTGTTCTCTCCTCTCCAAGCAAAGAACTGTCTGTCTAAACAGCCCGATCTCATTAAAGCGCATATCTATATCACAAATTTCTTGTGCCCATTCAGACTGTTGACCATTTTGAAGTAAACAAGCCGGTGCTATGGCCAGCTTGCCTGCTCACAAATGCCGTTTTCACAGCAACCCAGATAAATCACATAAAGAGTGTAATTTCTGGTATTCCGGCCTCGGCCGATGGTGTTATGAGTGTAATAAAAATGCCCACACCCCAGTGTTCATTCCTACACACATGTGAATTTTCAGCATCATTAGTCTTCAGTGTAACATGACCCTTCAGAAATCACTCATAACAAACTTATAACTGGTAGTGGTAGTATATCTATTTCTATATTGTGTAATACAATTCTACCATTTGGTTTGTAATTGGTTTGATTTATTTTATTTTTAAGATTGACACACTTTAAAACGCTGTTATTCCATCTACATCATATTTATATTTTCTGAGCTGCTGCTTTTGGTTTCTACAAAAAAATAAATAAAAAAATTCTAGATTCTAGCCAAGATTCTAGAGCTCTTTATAATTCTAATGCACTCTATGATTATAAAAGACAGTATGGCATCTGACAGCAGAAGATGTATGACTCTGACATAAGTTTGGCTATGGAAGCATATAATTGAATGCTGGAGTAAACCAAAGCTTTTCTGGGACACTGATAAGTACTCTAACAAGTTCTGTCCATTTTGTTGGCTGCGGTCTGGAATCTGCTGTGTACATAACAATGTTCATGAGTTCAAGATGAAATGATTCCCCATCTCTGTTTATAGAGATCAATGCTCACATTAGGACACAATAAGAGCCAATAAGCAAGTTTATGGCCAGAAAATACAATTATACACTTAATTAAAATGACTTGTGTGTGTGTGTGTGTGTATAGAGATAAATGCAATAATCAGCAATAGTATTTTAAAGCTGCAGTCCACAGTTTTTCTCTTTGTCACCATCTCTGTTCGAAATCTGAACGGAGACATGAGTTGTACTTCGACACGGCACAACGTGGATGAACACAATGTTTGATCAGTCATCACGCCGGTGTGGATACCGTCATTCATAATCACAGATTATATTCTTTTTGGAAGTATGACCAACATAATAATTTTCACCAGAAAATGTAATCTAAACAAGTAAGTAACAGTGCGATTTACTGCAATATCCGAACCAGAACAAAAGTGGATGATTAAATATAAAAATCGCTTATCATATCAAGCAAAACCATGCAAATTAGGCTATACTTTGTTCTCAAATTGTTAATGTTAACAACGTCAGCTTTGCGTGACTACATGTAATGTCCTTCCGATATGCTAGTTTTCGCATGGTCCAGTTGCAGTGTCTTTTTTTTTCTGTAACCACTCCGAAGTCCGAACGAAGTCTTTTGCATTTTACAGCGGGTAAATCTGTAGTTGTCACTGGTGATTGTCGTTTGAACCTTTCTGGATCCTCCATCAAATTGATAAGTTTAATTATATCAAGTGCTGTGAGAAAAGGCTATAAATCTCCACCTCCAGCATCCTCACGCAATATAGCCTACTATCCGAGATTACTCCTTTATGTGTACAAATGTGACGTAATGATGCAAAGACATGCTCGAATCTCCCACGGAAATTCACCAGTAGCACTGGAATTAAAAACCTTATTACAAGCTTTGAATCGAGCTAAGGAAAGCAAATAGTTTTGAACAATGGCTGGTTATGCATTTACTCAAATATGTATTTTGGATCATTTTTAACCCCCCCACCCCCCAAAAAAAGCTACGGTCTACAGCTTTAATAAGAAGATGTTGATCTCTCAGTAACATTTCCACTTCAGGGTTATAACTTCTTTTTAATAAACCAAAATTGCAGAAGTATGTCAGTGGATGTGACTCAGGACCGGGGAAACATTAAAGCGAGCTGGGAAGAATATGGTTGCTGTTGCTTTCCACAACTGATGACAACCGTAGTGACCACTCAGCAAAACATTAATAGTAACTAATTCAATCCCTCGATCTGCACTCATTATAACACACAACGAATGAACTTTTGCTTGACAATTGGAGAGGCAGTATTACTGTAGATACATCCCTGAGAGCTGATATTTCATAAAATGGTGAGTATGTCAACATGACCTTTCAGCTAGAGATCTTTGAAACTGCTAAATAACATACATGAATTAGTATCCAAAAAGCTCAAATGGTAGAGCATCGTGCTAACAAACCAGAATCATTGGTTTGATTCAGCGACAAAAATATTCCTCGAATGAAATGTAAGTCACTTTTAATTAAAGTGCCTGGCAAAGGCATAACAACGTAAAATGTTAACGTTGTTAATGTCTTTAATATATTCACACAGAAATGCATGAATTCATCAGAGCTGCTGCACAGTGGTAAGTACATAATATGCTTATGACATTAAAGAGCAGTGAACACACAAAGATGCTGGTAAAATCTGACATTTGACGTCCTATTGCCTCTCCGTCTGTCCAGTTTCTTGGAACTAAAACTAAACGACACATCACTTCATTTGTGCCGAGGAGCATTCAACTACTTAACGAATCATCCATGGGCACATAGATTGATTTTGAATGTGCATTATTGAATATATATCTATTTATTTTTTTGAAGGGTATTACTGAATATATATATTTTTTACTGATTTCTTAAGTTGTCAAATTGATATATTCCATGTCACTTTTGTCTTTATTCTTCTTTATTTATGTTTATTTTATGTTTTTTGTGGTTATGTTTATTATGGTTCCCATGAGTGTAAAACAAATTCCCCTTTGGGGCAATAAAGGTTTCATTCATTCAGTTTCTTGTCTATTCTCTACTGTCTTAAACTATAAAAAGCTAACGCTCCTCAAAACAGTATTTAAAAAAGATATCTGGCATTTAAGTTGCATGGGCTTCTGGTATTTACTTGCGGACATTACTAACAAAAATATTTGGAAATGTTAATGTGCTGTTATAACCGTTTTTATGTCTCATAAACAGTCGTGTTTTTTTATAGTTTATCTAAGATAAATATCAACTCATTATCTGGTCTGAAGCACCAGATTAAAATAACAACAAACAAAAGACATAAATAAGAGTACGTGATGCCATTGCAAACAGAGATATACTGTAAAATGGCTATGAGAAGTTTTTTCTAGTTGGTTTTATTGGCAAAGGATGGACAGTGTAGATAATTGAGAGGAAGCAAAGTAGGAGAGAGAGGGGGACGGGATCGCGAAAGGATCACAAACTCGGGTTACCCGAAGCACAACTGTGCCACACCTCGAAGTTGTTACCCACAAGGCTATTGGCTCCTAAACTACCAGTTTACTATCATTTTAACAAGATGGTAGAAGTAACTAACACTAAAACATCAGTAAAATGATAGAGTAACATTTATCAATAAGGTTCAATGTGTTAACAGCAGTTAAATGCTGTTTTTTTTTAATTCAAAGAAAAAAATCTTAACTCCAAATTTTAGAATGTTAGTGAACATTGACATATGTTAATTTATACAACTTGAAATGTTAAGAATGAAGTAGTATATGTTAACACTTAAAAAAAAATAAACATTAACTGAGATCAATGAATGCAGTAAAAGTATGTTGACAGTTTTGCTTTATATAATGTTATCCAATCAATACTTTGTTGTAAATGTTAACCAGAATGATAATTTAATTTACTGTAAAACTACTTTTTAAGCTTAAGTCATCCAGGTCATTGTATAGAAAAAAAATCTGCAACCGCACTTGGTTATAAATTTTGAAGACATTTTATGGCCATCTGATTTTTACCAGATGTTTTAAGTATGTTTAGAGTAACGTAAGCCCTAAGAGACCTTTAACAATGATGCACGCTATAGACACACAGATTTGTCGATTGCAAAGACAGCTTGTGTACAGAATTCAGTAGCTGTGTAGGCTCTTTTATTCTAATGAACCGTAAAAGTGTTTACTATGGCAAGACTAATAGAAGGGTGGCGTGATGTAGCTTTAACTCACTTGAATCCCGGCGCCACTGTGGCACAGTTCCCCGCACTCAGCCAGATGCAGTAGGGGTCTCGCGAGGACAGACAGCTCCTAAAACACACACACACATACAGAGTTAACTCGTACCACATGTCCTGGAAAGGTTGTGTGTTTTTCTCGCTCACTGTCTCCTGACTCCCTCCGATTTCCCTTTTCCCTCTCTCTCCAAGTGTATGTGACAAGCTGGAAGGGACAGCCAGACACGGCATCTCCATAACAAAGCATTAATGCCTCTCGCTGGTCAGACAGTCAGTCAGACTCAGAAAAGAGAGAGAGAGAGAGAGAGAGAGAGAGAGAGAGTAAAAAAGTGACTGAGTGCTGTAGTCAGGTGTGTGTGTGTGTGTGTGTGTTTGTGTATTTGTGTTGCATGGTTGACAGACGTGTTGTGTTTGCCAGAGGCCAACTGAGATGCAGATACATAGCAAAGCTAGCGAGTTGCACCAATAAGCAGTGAGAGAGACAGATGGAAAAGAGCGAGAGACAGGCGAGAAAGGACAAAAAGCATGTGTGAGGTGACTAGATGTGAGTCAGGGTGAAAAGGAGAGGTCACTTCCACTTTTCTGCTATTTCTTTCCTCTTCACAGGTTGTTAATTTCTCCATGCTATGCCTGTTGGTCACTGTTCTTTAACAAATGATCTATTGTTAAATGTTAGATGTGTTAAAATGGTAAAATACTTTCTCTTATTTCAGAGAGTTGGTGGCTTTAGTCTGTCTATAAGGGTTAAAGACATATGCTCATGACCTACTAAAAGTTGACAACAGTTTTACTGGTTAGTGCACTTTGTTATACTTTTTTTAAATCGGCAAATCATTTTAATTGATAAACAGTACATGTTGAAAATTCACAGACTTTCTCTTCAGGTAGAACTGAGAACAAATATTGATGACTTATCCTGCACTACACAGATTTTTGTCTTGTTTTGAATGTTTTCTAGAATGACAATGTCCCACCCCCTAATACCAGCTGCAACCAACTAGCATTAGTTAACTAATGCCTATTGTTTTTTAAAAAAATAAACTCAAGCCCTTTGATATGTCCCACCCAAACTTTCAGATTCAACAGAAAATATGTCAGAATAAGGATTTTCGATTTTCTTTCAAAGTACATAAACAACTATAAGAAACCTATTTGGGTATATGAATTCATGTGATTTTTGGGATATCCCATTACAAAAAAAATAAATTAAAAAAAATGCTGGATGTAAACTCCAAAATGCGCATTTTAAAAAAATGGCATTAAATACATATTTTCTCAATTGAGTTGGATACATTCTTTATTCCGATAAGAAGACATAAGTGCATAAACGCCAATGGAAACGCATTTACTGAATAAAACACTCGATGTGCAACAGAAATACTGTGAATTTGCCTCAGAGGATACGATTGGATAACTGGACTAACCAGTAGATCAGTTTCATTGTCCAGCATGTCAAATCTTGTTTTAGTTATTTTCAAAATGCCTGAGCCAACGTCTATCATCAAAATTATCTGGTGGATTGACCTCACAGAACTCTCACATGATTGTGTTCACAAACATCAGGCCTGAACCAAGGTAACATGACAGCATTTATTGCGTTTCGTCCAGAATAAAAGAGCCACAGTGGCTTACCGATTGCAGCAACTTCCCTTTTTATTAAAGATATTTTGCGCCAGTTTCCTAGGAAGAGATGATTTCTATTCTCTTGAGATGGAAGGTTTAAATACATTGTAAATGTTTGATGTGATAATCCAATTTTATGCAAAGCTAAATTCACAATTTTGGATGGAAACATAGCTATAAAACATGGTGACCAGCCTAAAATGACCTAAGAGTGGCTCATGGTGTTTTTGGGGTGGAGTTATTGGAGTTATACGAGTTATTACTCATACATCTCTTTTACAGTATACTCATATACTGTATGTGCACGCTGTTTGTGTTTGGAGCTCCGTCGAATTGATTCATAATCCTTGATTTTCTTCTTTACTCTCATTTATAAACAAGCATTTTCTAGAAAGCATGTGAACATATCTTCGATACTATTCCTTATAAAAAAACGAATGTATTGCTTTGATATTGCTACTTATATCCAACTTTCCGCATCCGCTACTAGCCTTAAGCCCGCTAACATTGCACAACTACACCGCTTTACTAACTATAGGACAGGAAGAGCAATAAACTTATCATTGCAACAACATGTTTACTAGATCCAATACCCACTAAACTACTGAAAGAAGTGTTACCCGTAGTGGAAGAGCCTCTTCTCAATATTATTAGTCTTTATTTTTAGCTCATGTTCCAAGAATATTCAAGCTGGAAGTAATTAAACCTCTCATTAAGAAACGACAATCAGATCCAAATAACCTAGCAAATTCCAGACCCATTTCAAATCTTCCATTTATGTCTAAAATACTAGAAAAAGTTGTCTACTGAATTGTGCTCTTTCTTGGAAGAAAAGGATATCTATGAAAAGTTTCAGTCAGGACTCAGACCGCATCATAGCACAGAAACTGCGCTAGTTAAAATTACAAATGATTTACTTTTCAACTAGTATTATTTCAACTCGATCTCAGCACTGTGTTCGACACTATAGATCATAAAATACTCTTGGATTGGTGTTAGGCCCTCTGCTATTCTCAATATATATGCTGCCACTTGGTAATATTATAAGAAAACATGGAATTAATTTCCACTGTTATGCTGATGACACTCAATAATATATTTCATCACGACCAGATGAAAACACTAACTTATCTAAATTGACAGTGTCTTAAAGATATAAAATGCTGGATGACATGTAATTTCATTCGATTAAATTCAGATAAAACGGAGGTATTACTTATTGGTCCAAAGAACTACCCACAAAACCTCTTACAATACGACTTTAATTTAAGGATATCTCGTTACTTTATCCAATACAGTAAAAGACCTGGGTGTTATACTAGACCGCAAACAGCCTTTTTCCACCTTAGAAACATTGCTAAGCTACGTAACATGCTATCCGTTTCTGATTCAGAAAAATTAGTCCATTGCATTTATAACCTCGAGACTAGATTACTGCAATACTTTATTAGCTGTTTTTCCTGCATCCTCAATAAAAAAGCTACAGTTAGTGCAAAATTCAGCTGATCGCACCGGCAACGATCGCTAGATTTAAAAAATACATATAAATGTACAGATTTTGATCTATTAATATTTAGTAAACACATCAGTGACATGATTGTTTTTTAACTTCATTCAGGAGATTTTGGGAAACTGCACAACCGACAGATGACTTTGAGCGAACCGCCACAGGTGTGTGTGTGTGTAACCATAGTGACATAACGACTAACTTTCGGATCCTGCACTGAAACTTATAATTTCGTTTTTTACATTTATAATTATATATTTAAAAGTTGCAAAATGGATTCATTTGGAGACTTCGAAATTAGCAGAGATAGACAGGCAATGCAAAACAAAACCAAGTTATTGCTTAGCTTCAACAACACTAGTCTTGGTGTCTTGGTCTTGGTTTAGGCAGTCTTGACTACAAGTCTACCAGTTTGTATCCAGCCTCTCACGGAGACTTCAGATGCCTCAACACCCGAGATGAGATGACTAAACGCCCGTGGATAGACGACTCAACGCCAGCTTTATGCCCTAAATTAATACATGCATTTGAATTGAATTGAATTATTTGTTTGACCAACCAAGCAAGATAGATCAGGGAAACCTGGTTGATACCAACCCGATTTTATTGCAAATCTCGTTGACCAGGTTTTTAAACCTTTTTGAATTTAAACAAACACAGCTGTTTTTGCAACCAGCAGTCAGCGTGTGTGTGAAAACAATTCAGCGAAAGTAAAAACAGAGAAAAAAGGGAGAGATGTTTTCTCACAAGTCCACAGAGAATCCTGTGTGAGTGTTTCTCCTGAGGCTAAGCAGGCATGAGCTAACAGATTGGTAAAAAGTTAAGACATTGCTGAATCAGACATCAGGATTGTTTTTGGAAAGAAATTGGGACTGAAATTCCCTAATAGGATTTGGAGATCTTTTTAAAAGGGGAAACAGTCTATCAGCTTGCTTATACTACAGCTGTGTGAAAAAAAGGAATTGTTTGCTGTGTCTTGGCCTGCAGCCAATCAGATGGCTCCAATTTACGCGAGTAGTCAAAGCATGTGGTGATGCTGGCTGGAGGACTGCAGCATGCGAAGGAGGAAACACGTCTACATGCAAGCTAAAACCCTTTGCCCTCTAAAATGTATGTGTTTAAATTTCAACGCATTAATGAATGCATGTCTTTGGAAACACACACCGCTTTCACAGCACTTATGGAGAATGTTATCCATAATAGATCAAAAGAGAACTGGAACAGGACTTTTTTAGAAGATTCTTTAGAAGACGACTGAGCTACTGCACTGCATCGTCAATGGAGTTTGTAATGTTGGCTCCATCTTCAATAAATGTCTTCAAATACTTGACCATTATAACCCTTATACATGTACTTGTTTAAAACAGGTGTAGTGCAAGATTGTATAAAGTGTTTTCACATGTAATACATTTTTAATGCAAATGATTATGGGTCTGGTTTCCTTGAGTATTATCACTCACTTTTTGCAGTTGTAGTCAGAACAGCGACTGAGAGGAACACGGATCACGCAACTTGAGAATGCCACAAACAGGGCATGATGGTCCTTGTCCAACTCCAATCCCAGAATCCTACGGTCCTCACCACGCACATTACATCTGAGGAGAGAAATGGCGGTTTGTGTTGAAATGTCGATAATAATTATTAAAGAGGATTCAAAAGTACCATATATGTACATAAACACATTAATGCTAATAAAGGCTATGTTTGGAACTGCATACTACCATACTATTCCTACAAGAATGAAAAAGGGACATTTTCTCAATGCATGGAATATTTGGATTATCCAGGGTTCTCAAGTAACTCGCATTGGCCGTGAGACACACGCAATTCAACCAGTTCACACACCACACCGTGTATTTCTCACTCTGAAAAGGCAATGCCAACCATTTTGTCCTGCAAGCTTTGTATGAATATTTGTATATATTCAATTTGTGCTGGTTGATTATGGGTAAAATTGAGGGGTGGGGATGCCCCTTTTGATAAAACTTGAAAACCCTGATTATCCAATACACAGGAGTCCATTAAGGAATCCATTAAGGAATGTAAGAGGCAGGGTTGTTACATTTAAATAAAAAAAGTTATTACTTGAAATTAAATAAATGTTAATTGAAATAAAATAAGTGGTTTTATGTTATTTCATTCCAACTAGTTGCCAAGCCAACATTTCTCATTTTCATTAAGTTTAATTTGGTGTACTAAAAGGACTTAAACCTGAAATAAAAAACATGAATGAAATCTATATAAACATTATATTAAAAGTAATTTTGAAGTGGTTTTGTCATTTTAATTAGTTTATTTATTTATTTTTTTATTGAGTAGTCATATGGACTACTTTACATGACTATAGTGGTCATATGGACCACTAAAATGATAATCGTATATATATTTTTTTGTGCTTGAAATGTTCTCCTGGTCACAATATGCTTTCATTTTATGGAAAAAAACAGCTCCGTGATTCTTTAATATAGCTTATTTTGTGTTCAAAATGAGAATGAAAGTGGTTTTAAAGGAGGTTAGGATAAACCTTCCTCTCTAATGGAAGGAAAAAGCAATCCCCAATAAAAGAAAAAAGAAGAAAAACCCAATAAAGAAAGAAATCCAATATGAGTCAGTCCATCGAATGGATTGAATAAGGTCATGCCATAAAGGCTGACTGTAATCTTCTCCAGTGTCTGAAATAATCTAAATAAATCCTTTGCATCATGTCAAGTGTCTTTCCCAAAGGCCAACTTTGACGTGAGGTGGGGTTTTCAGGGGGAAAATGAGCAATGCTGCCTAAAGATGTGGTCACACTTTGTTGTGGAACTTGTGAGTCTCAGCTGGAGTTGAGGCTTGTTGTCAGATACACAAGAGGAACACAAACATGGTTGAGATCCCAAGAGTACAATTACAGCTCCACACGTCCCATCCACCCCATTTACTGGAGGAGAGATTCTCCCTTAATCAAACGCCTTTGTCGACATGGAGTTTGGGGTTATGTGTGTGCACGTTTATATTTGCCTGAGACCTGTCAATGAGTGTGAAGTGCATGAGAAGAGCGGAATAATGAAGATGTGTTTGTAAAGAACCTTCTAGGTGAAGATGTTTCCTCAGACAAGTGGGATTTTATTTTATCTGTTGCATGGTTTCTTTCGCTAGGCATCCCTAAAATCCTTTTAAGGCAAGTCAGTCTACTAGGCAGCCATCTTGGTTCATCTCTTATCTACTTGAATAAAGAAATCTCTAAAACCGTTTCAATAAAATATTCAAATGACCAGTAAAATCTGACAAAATTTTAAAATGTTCAATGCAATTGACACTAAAAACTTAATATTGACTCACTAAACTATTCTAATAGTTCTAATAAGCAAACTATGAAAACGCAGACATCAGATCCATTAACATAGTCTCATCCCAAGAAGTCATATAACTGACGTCTTTGACCATCTTTGACCATACGTCAACATCCGCCTTTTTAGGGTACCCTTAAACGTCGGTTAGATGACGATCCCGGGCCGTCATACAACTGACGCTTTACCTTTAACGTCGGTTAGGTGACTGGGTAGGTTTAGGGGTAGGTTTAGGTCTGGGGTAGGGTTAGGATCCGATAACGTCATCTAACCGACGTTTAAGGGTACCCTAAAAAGGGTACAAGGGTACCTATGTTGACGTATGGTCAAAAGATGTCCCAAGACGTCAGTCATATGACGTCTTGGGATGAGACTGCGCTGGATCCATAACCTCATGGGCAGTGATCTGACTGACATATGGTACAGCAGCAAGTTTCTCAGCATCCTTAGTTCAAGTATTTTAAATTCAAGTATTTTAAGTTTTCCCATTCATTTCTCATTCAACTTAAATATATATATATATTTGTTACAGTTATAAGTCATAAACCAAACCAACAGGCTACAAGGTAAATCCCTACATTACAATCATTGAAACATTTTTTTTTTCTGAATAATCAGATGCAAAATATGCATATGGCTTGATGGCTTAAGCAAAAGCATTCAGTTGATTAACACCCAGATTATTACAGATTAATATAGTAGGTCTGTATTTAATGGTTTACAAGTAATCATCATGAGAAATCCATTTTCCCTATGGAGAAAATGAATGGGACTTCTTCTGGAACCTTACTGTTGCACTCAAAGTCTATTGGTCCAAAACTCTACATAGTTGCATATTAAACAACAAATAGTATTTTTGCTTTCAGTGTGGGCAGACAAAATAATATCATGTTGTAACAAAAGAGTATGTATACGTGTGTGTGCATTATAACTAACTTGTTGGGGTTGTAAACATCTATGTCCTCCAAAACCTGCGTGCTGTAGGTGGAGTTTGGGTGTGTGCTGGAGAGAATTTTCAGGACTCGTCCGTTTTCTGAACCCAGAAACAAAACGGTGTAGTTCTTATACGGGCCAGCTGCCGTGTCCACCGCGATCTGGGTCAGCTTGAACCTACATCAGGAAACATTAGCTAATTAGTCAATAAAACACAATCACACACATGTCTTGAACAACATTAAATATTCTTTTTATTCTCCAGCACTAATAACAGTTTCATTCTCTCTGGAGAAAGACATGCAAATGTTGAGAAAAAAAAAAGTTGGGGGCAGAGTATAAAAATAATGAGTCTAATTTTTATTGGAGCATGCGTTTTTGTGTGTGCGTACCGGCTGGTGGTTCGTGTGAAGCAGGGTCGGTTGTTGACAGACGGTACGGCCTCGTCCATTAGTGGATAAGACTTAATGAATGTAAGAGTCTCATCAGGGAAATTTGTGGAGGACTTAAAGCCAGCAGCAGGGCCATCACCAGCACAGGATCCCGGCCTAGAGCGAGACAGAGAGAGAGAACACAATTGACTTCTACCTGCACAGACATTCCTATGAAGGCTCATTGAAATGATCTACAAAAACAGCTTACATACATACAATTAACAAGAGCCCTTCAAACCATCTGCCACTGTTAAATAAAAGCTGTTATTAGAGTCCATCAGGCCGAACAAGCTGCTCTAAGAGCTCCAGAGAACAGGTCCAGGCATATCACGCAGAGCAAGATGAAAAGGAAGTCTTTGGCACGTGTGTGAGTGTGTGTGTGTGTGGTGTTTTAGGTTGAATTTGTTTTGTTAATATATTCTAACAGTGCAGTGCCTCATGTTACTTCAGGGATATCACATTTCTTTGATCAAAAAAGCAGTTAAAACAGCAATACTGCAAAATATTACAGTTGTTTTCTATTTTAATATCTTTTCAAATGTAATTTATTTCTGTGATGGGAAAGCTGAATTTTCAGCATCATTCTTTGGACTTCAATTTCACAGAATCCTTCAAAAATCAAAGCTTTGCAACTGAATCCCTACATTATATATTATCAGCAAAAAGTGGGTAAGATTGTTGATTTTAAAGTAATTAAACTTACAGCTTCATTGTTAATAGAGAGAGATGCTGATCAGATTCAGGTAATTTACACACACATTTCTCTCTCTCTCTCTCTCGATAATTAATTCAAATGAATGCTAATTAATTCATTATTATAATTGCAGTCTATGTTCTTTCATTACTGAATGTTTACATGAATAGTTAATCGAGAAATTACAACAGTATTTACCAAATGGAGCACTTTTTTAATGTAATATATTTATAATCCATATAACGGTATTTACAAGATTTATATTAGTATTGTAATTTTAAGAAAATAGAATGATCAACAGCATACTTTTTGCAGAGATAAAAATGGTTTTGAGAAAGGTGAAACTGACTAATATTGGTGTCAAATGGATTGTTAGTATTGCGATAACCCTCTGTGACTCACCGGGGTTTGGGCACCACTTCATCAGGAACTGGCGTCCAGGCTGACTCGCTGTTTCGCTGCTCCTTAAACTTCCCATTAAACACTTTCTCTATGTCATCCATGTAGAAAGCACATACAGCAGAACCGGTGATGCTGAGGAGAGAAAAACTCATCAATCTCAAAAAGACCAAATGCATTGGAGTTAAATAAATTTAGGGAGTCGTTGAACGGTGTATGGAAATACAAAATGTATTGTGGTGGGACTGTAGTACCTGTTGGCTTGAGTGGTAAAGACACCTAGCACCGCAGGCCTGTGGTTGATCTGCATGACGTTGGTCAATGACTGAAGAACGTCAAAGTAGAAGAACGAATCACCTGGAACTGAACAGTTCAATCGTGCTTTCAGGAAAGAAGTCCAGTACCGCTCTAGAACCCGCGGAGAACCACCGTTATCATTCTTACACACGCGAGCGACTCGAGAGAACACCACCTGGTTTAAGTAAATGAGACATGAATAATGTAAGGAAGTGTGTGACCTCTTTCAAACCGATTGCACCGATTACAACTCTCTAATATATATACATAAATTGCTTCAAAGAATTGATTAAACTTGATTAATGACACATACTATAATAATAACACAATAATCTTAATATCTTATGCAACTTTGCTCGAAGTAAATTTACATTGTTTAAAGGGAATTTAAATTTTTTTTCTGGAAAACAATACAAACAAAGTGATTTAGAAAAAAATCTATATTTTTGCAGTGTACTTGAAGTGTCTAACCTTGCCAAGGGTGGTGTACTCCACTGCGATCTCACTGAGGAAAAAGTAGACGTAGTTCCCATACTCAATGGCATGAAGGAAATGAGGCTCTACAAAAAAAAAAGACACTATTACAAAAAGAACAGATATTATAGATAAAATAGCTACATAACAGATGACCCACCTCTTAGCCATTTTGAGTCGTATTTTACGGTACGCAGAACAGGACTGCTTTCTCCTAAACTTCGGTAAATCACTGAATCACTTGCTAGAAAATCTGTCATTGTGGCTGAATAAAAGTCACCACCTGGGAAGTGAGGTGAGAAATAAGTATTGATAAATCAAAACAGCACAAAACCCGACAAAGCAGAGCTCAGTTCAGTTCGGTGTGTATATGGCACAAAGAGAAAATGAGACGCGTCTCATCTCCCCCATGTCCCTTTTAAATCTCTATACGTCTGTGATCACTGCTGTCTCACTGAGACTTCCTGCACTTTGTAAAATGTCAGTGGAACACTAGTGAGATTATAGAAGATTTCGTGTATTCCTCCCCAGACGGATGCTGCTCTGCCAGCTCACCGGCAAACAGGCCGACGTTAGACTGGCGGGATTCGAAAGGGCAACGGGCTTGACCGACCACCTCCTCTCCGTCCTGCTCCAGAGATGACATCTGACCAGAGAGAGAGAAAGAGAGAAAAGGCCTCTTACACACACTGAGCAGATGAAGAACACTTCAAACACAGCACAAAAATATGGATGTTTGAAAAACATCCATTCAAATCGTTGTTTTGGACCATATTGGCTTTCAATGTATGGCCAAAAACTAACTTTTTTAAAACATATTTTTTTGTTATGCAGAGAGATACTCATTCAGGTTTGGCATGACAAGATGGTAAGTAAATGATCCAAACCTTTTAATATTGTTGTTTAAAGGTCCAATATGTAAGAATTTTGTAATAAAACATCCAAAAATCACTTGTACAGTGTCATATATTTCCTGCAGTTGTGTACTTACAATATCCCAAAAGTCTACAAAGTTCTTTTGTTTCAGAGAAATTCCAATTTTAAATAAGTGGCCGTCCCGGAAAAAAAGTCGCCTGTCAATGACGCAATGTCCGCGCTATCCTCGGCTATCCTCGTTTCCGCTCGTATTGCCATAGCCATGACGTAACCATGGCGACAGACGCGGACAACTGCGTAGTGAGTAACTTTTAGCGGCACCCAGTTCTTGTTTCGTTCAAACATAGACCATGGCAAGCCGACTTTGGGAAAAACAAGGAGAACTAGAATGAGGGTCAATATCAGCGTGATGTTTTTGAGATGCCGAGAGCTAGCGTCCGAGACTGACTTCCACGCGACAGAGAGCTAGCGTCCGTGACAGAACTTCACGAGTCACGACTTTACAGCTTTATTAGACAGGTGAGCAAATGTACATAAAACAAATCCATGTTATATCGTTAGCTTGACATGATGAACTGTTAGAATATGGTCAGTATGTTATTCTTATGTTGATCTAGCTGCTAGTTTCGTATAGCAAACGAGCTACAATAACACATAGAATAACATTATAACTTTCAACACACATTTAAATGCCGTTTAGTGTGATAGTGTAACGTTATACCAAGTGGAACAGCGCTGCGTTTCCCTCACAAGTTTAATTCATCTAATAAACTGACCTGTGTGAGTAATCCAGCACTTGCATGTAGTTCAATAGGGTGAAATTTCCTTATTCCTTTATATCCGCAGGACTCGCGTGTGATGTATATATATATCTTATTAGCAATCGCAACCTGCTTCAGTCCACTGTAATGTTAAAAAACATGAGTGTTTTCACTAATCCTTAAACATTATTAGATCCATCAGCTTGACAGCAAGTCTCATCATTCAGCTCGTCACTGCGTCACAAACATATGCCTTTGTTATTGTTGGAAACGGCGCCCTCTTGTGGCCAATAAAGTTACATATTGTAGCTTTAATATTGTAAATTCTGATCATTTGAATCGAGAAAGATTAGTGCGGCATTGGTGAATCATTTACAATTTAGGATTTGTTCTGAAAGCTGTTTTTGCAGCAAAAGACTTTTGGGAGCTTGAATTTGGTGTTGTGTAAATGTTTGTGGACCAGTGGGTGGTGCATGTTCCATGGTTGTTTTGTTTTGTTCCTCTTTGGGAACTGTAGGTGTGAACAGTGTGCCAGCTTCTCTTGTTAGTCAGAGGCAGAGCAGAAGCTTCCGACCTGTGGTGTTCACAGAAGAAAAAAACAGCGTGCTAACTGCCTGTATTGGGTGATGCACACATACAGTACATGTGTACAAATCCACAAAGATATTCAACCTGCAGGGCTAAAGATGTCCTCACAAAGACGGCTGGATTACACACATGCACAAACACATTTAGCAATATGGCTGAAAGGGTCCTGTGGGCATTCTGGTATTCAGGGTCACATTGTGTGTCATCCCCATCGGATTAACACCTACTGAACCTGCTGAAGCTCACCACAACATACACAGCCATGTAGCTCATAGGGATAGAGGAGAATAGAAGGGTATTAAAGCAGGAGTAGCATGGGATTGGTTCTGTCAAAGGTTGACCATCTGTACACTTCTCTCCAGGGAAAGCGTGTCTGTTTGTTTTGGAACATCGGAAGAACAAGCAATTCAACCCGAACCGCCATTCGCACGGATGACTTGAAACATGCACTAAATTATAAACGATTCAGCAATGCATCACTAATCTTTCTCAAAAGATTTTGGATAGAATCAAATTGATTTCTCAGTGATATATTATTCATTTTGAGGTACATTATTGCAACTGTAATTCCACACCATCAGCATTAACAAGTGCATGTCCATCAACAAAACGATGCGTATATTTCTAATTTATTGCGGTGGACTCGTGGGAACTGTAACAATAACAGCGAATACAAAAGACGAGCACAAACGTGATTGACTGATGTGACAAACGTTTGCAAAACAAATCTTGCTCATTCCTTTATTTGTACTCAAAGTAGTAAGAGCGACAGACAATCTGCATTAATAGACACAGTTTTAGGTAATAGTTTTAGGTAATCCACAGCTGTTTAGCATAAGTGTTTCAGTAAGACAGTAATAACGTGAGTTGGCCGGTTAGCCAGAGACCTACTCAATGTAAAACACAAAACGACGTTTTTTTGAACACCCGATAGAAAATGTATAAATCAATAATTAGTCATACTTACAGGTTGTGATCCTGAGGAACAAGTTGGTCCAAATAAACTGTCTTTCTTTAGGAGACACTCTCAACTTATTTAAAGGGGACCTATTATGACCTTTTTCAAAGTCTTGATTTTGTTTTTGGGGTCTACTAAAATAGGTTTTAATGCTTGAATGTTCAAAAAGCACATAATTTTTCACATATTTTATATTGTTGCAGCACCTCTCTTCCCAATCTCTCAGTAACGGTTGAAAAACGAAAAGTGCAATGTGCTATGATTGGTCGGCTGGACCAATGTGTTGTGTTTGGTCAGCCCGCTTCCAGCTTGTTTGGTAAATGTCACACCCCTTACCATAACCGCGAGATTCAACACAATACTAACAGAACTCAACTAGACCTCACCCCTAGTGGCTTCAATTCACCAAAATGCCAAATATACCAAATATAAATATACCAAATATATTTTGAAGCCATTTGACAAACTGAATTGCATGACATTGAAACAGCAGAGAGAAAAACAACTAAAATCCGGTTGGCATTTTGTGTATGTGTGTGTGGCGCATCCAAAGATCAGATTATGTTGTATCAGTTTGGCTTGTAGTCTCTTTTATGACGTGGCATCTAGTGATACTCGTTTCCTTTTCATTTTATTTATTCAGTCGTTATCTATAGCTACTACATGTTCATGTTCTAACTTCAAATCTGGCATGAAATGTCAGGGAAATAGCGTTGTTTCTGAACTTGCATGACGCTGTTTGAAGAAGGTTCACAAATTCAGCCAGATAGCCACAATTGGTATGGCAGCAGCCATTCCTTTCCATAAGCAATTGCCACCCTGTTCACCCCATTTTTATGCATGCATGGGGCAGAAATTATTTAAATGAGGAATATTGTGACATGTACGTTCCCGGAAGAAAACTCAAGACTACAATCGAGGCTTTCAGAGGGTTCAGAAACAGTGCTTACTGATAGTGAGTTTTGAGCATGAAAAAGGTCTGAAAAGTCCACTCCATAATAATGACACACTAAAAAACATTGCAAATGTTATTATAATACCTCTTTAATAATAATAATAATAATAATACAATTATTAGTTATTTAAAACATTAAATGAGCAAAAGATAACAGCAAAGGTAATCTGCATGTAACAAAATGGGAAAGTGTAATATGAGGCTTTTCCACTGCATGTTACAGTACGGCACGGTTCAGTATGGCACACTTTGAGTGCTTTTCAACTGATGGTACGGTATGGCTCGGCTCGGTACGGCTCACTTGTGGCGTTTTTCCACAGCATGGTACGGTATGGCTCGCTTTAAATGGTATCACCTCTGTCGAGGTTCCAAGCATGCCTTACCAATGTTAAAATGTCACGTGAACACATTGCAGATCAATGATTGGTCAGAGAGAATCATCACTACCAGCATCATTATATTTGCGAGACATCAAAACAGCAGTGAAAAAGCAAACCAAGCTAAAGCGAGCCGAACCGTAACAGCAGTGGAAAAGTGCAAATTGAACTTTTCCAAAACTCTCAAAATATTATAACAATCTAACTATAACAATCTCTCCTTAACCTCTCCTTGCACCGTTTTCCAGAAAGTTCTCCACAGCTCGAGCTGTGAGAGTAAAGGAATGCGTGAGGAGACAAGGCAGAGGAACTGAGCGACATGATTTGCAAGACATGACATATTGTCCCTCTCCAGGGCTCTAACAGAACATCCCTCTCCTCGGTGAGATGCAGAAAAACGAGACTGTGAGCACGAGAAAATGGAGACAGACTGAGAGAGAAGTGGAGAGGAAGAGGAAAGAGAGGAATATGGAAGGAAGATGCCTTCGGGGCAAGGTGCATAAATCAAGATCTCCAAAGAGCCTCGAATGGAAAAGTTGAGAGCAGAGCCTCATCCGTGAGTTTTGCTGACTCCCTGCTGGCCTCCTCCAGCATTTAGTCAGATTTACATGCTCTCTGGCAAAAAAAAAACACACATGCACACACACCGCTCAGGAACAGATCTGCTAATGTTGATGGAAAACCATCAATCGCAGGACAGGCCTGACTTCACATCACTAAACTAGTGATTTGTTGCAGTTTTTTGCAGGCACTGCATAAAGGCAGATATTTTACCTATATCAAAACATTACTACTCAACTTCCCATGTGTTCAAAAGAACAAAAACATTGCCTTTAGAAAACATACTACGTAAACTAGAAATTAAAATGTTGTATTCACAACATGGCTCTTTTATTAAATGTAATACATTTCTGGTTTACATGTCAGGTGGTTTTGAATCATCTGAGCATATTATTCAGGTCACCATACTTGAAGGAAAGTCACATCACATTTTTGACGCCCATCAGTAATTACATTTCTTTTGCAGTTTATGGTTTATTTTCAGTTTATTTTTCAATAATACTAGTCAATTAACTGTGCGAAATAATAGCAGTCAATCATCTATGCGAATTAGTCACAACATTTGACACA